AAAAAAAAACAAGAAAGTAGGAAAATCTAAACAGTGCGCACCAAAAGTTTCGTGCAGCGTTTAGGTGTTTCTACGACCTTGATCACTCTGTTTATTATCAATTAAGAGCACCAAATTTATTTGGTCTGGAATCTGGACCGGCAAGTATATATATATATATATGTATATTCATCAGACCTGCAAGTTGTTTATGCATCTATAGTAATTTATACATTGCTCGATATTGTTCATATCCATTAATCATTTATTTCCGAGCCGGCTGCGTTTCAATTTATATAACGTGAACATTGAATTCGGATAATAGAAATAATCGATGATGTCAAAAATGAATATTGATGAATATGTTGGTGTGTTTTTTACTGCTGGATTCGTTGGAAGCTAAATGTGTACGATTTATGAACCGGATGTTGTAGGCTTAAATCCGCTCTGGCGCGATAAAATCATTTCGGTAGGAAACGGAGCAGAAGCGTTGCTCGAATTTCTTCATTTGCATACGGTGAATAGATGCAATGGTACAAAAGAATGTCGCGTCGATAATAAACGACGGCTAATCGGAGCCTGCAAAATATTTTGTCGCACGTGGAACATAATTAAAGACAAAACTATATAAATAACATAATAACTTCGCAATTGTATCGATAAAGTAGTTCGATGGGAGTTGCACTATTGTTCGGTCACGTTTTAGTTTTTGTTTGCAGCTGTTAAAGATGAGGCTCCCGATAAAAATGTCCTTAATCGTAATATTTGGCGTGTTCGTGATCTTGTATCAATACAATCTATCGAGTGCCTGGATTTCGGCCGACAACAATGCGGAAGAATTGACCCAGATTTATGGGGAGAAGAGCAAGTACAACGATACTGACGGACCGACGGCGCACAGGCTCACCGTGAGTATCTCTATACGTTCCAGAAATCGAGAGGAATACCAGAATTCCTTATTTATAGCAAGTAAATATAGACACCGAGTCGGATCTGCCACCTCTGTACGTAATTACGCCGACGTACAGGAGGTCCGAGCAGTTGGCGGAGCTGACCAGACTATCGCACACACTCATGCATGTGCCAAACATGCATTGGCTGGTGATCGAGGATGCCATGGTGAAGACTCCGCTCGTCGAGGAGTTGCTTCAGAAGACCGGACTGCCTTACGATCACTTAATAGGTAACGTCAAGGAACATCCATAACTTTCCTCGCTCAACAAGATGCTTTCCTTTCAGCACCCATGCCAGAGCAGTACAAAAAGAAGAAGAAGGATCCAAAACCTCGTGGAGTTTCGAATCGGAACAAGGGTCTCGAGTGGATCAGGAAAAATGCACGCACGGGCGTCTTCTATTTCGCCGACGACGACAATACCTACGATCTGGATATCTTTGAAGAGGTACTTGGCTTTGAGCCAGCATATTAAAGCAGAACGAGGAAGAGGAGAACAAAAAAAAAAGCGACGCCGCATATTGATTAAACTGTAATGCGGTCTTTTCAGATGCGGTATACAAAGCGCGTCTCTATGTTCCCGGTAGGTCTAATCACGAAGCTCGGCGTCAGCTCGCCGGTCGTCAAGAACGGGGAATTCGTAGGATTCTACGACGGCTGGATAGCAGGTCGGAAGTTCCCCGTCGATATGGCCGGATTCGCTGTCTCCGTCAAATTCTTGTTGGAACGTCCAAAAGCCATAATGCCTTTTAAACCAGGCTTCGAGGAAGACGGATTCCTCCGGAGCCTGCAGCCTTTCGAGCCGAAGGAGATTGAACTTCTGGCCGCAAACTGTACAAAAGTAAGTAGCACCTCGCCCTGAAATGACTTCGATTATCATGACATATCTCTCCTCTGTTCCAGATCTTAGTATGGCATACGCAATCGAAGAAGAACGAGCCTTCCTTACCTGTAGACATATCAAAGTTCAATAATACTAACATATTAAAGCTAAAGCAGATTCTAGTATAGCGTACGGCTGATCCGCGACCTGGTGCTTCTAAAACGGTTTTCCTATTGAAAACAAAGATTCATAATAAACTATTTGACTCAATCATTAAGGTGCGCCAAAGGATCGTTGGCGTGTTTGCCGCGCAAAATTTTTCATTATTTAGTTATTTCCGACATCGTTCATATCGGCTCCTTCAGTTAATAGAGGGAGGGAGCAAACCAAAGAGAGTCGGTGGTTCATAATGGAGATGGATACTCGATGGCAAAAGCATGGCTGTGTATTTTATTTTTTCTTTCCCTGGTTTAACCGTGCGATGATGCGATGGATAATAATAATAATGATATGACCTGGCCGAGATGTGAATGATATAAACTCGATGAAGAAATGTGCCTAGAAATCGTCCCCTTAACATTAATAAAAATATTTACATATAGATATGTATATATTTATATATATTATAATATATACATATACAAATTCACATTCCTCAGAATCTATTTCTAATAAGACTAAGCTTGTACGTTTGGCTAGAATCATCTGAATTCAATTATTTAGATACTCCCTTTTTTCCCACTATTTCTCTTCAGTAGCCGTTAAGCAAGATTAATTAAAGGACTTGTACTTATACTTCTGTATATACTTGTTATTTTTCTTAATAAACGAATACTTGGAAATTGTTATAATGCGATCTCCATCAATCAACAATTTATTTTTTCCCTATCTAAAATCAAATTAATCGAACAAAGAAAACAACAAATAACTACAAATCTCATTAATAACAGCTTTTCATAATCAATCAGTACCATTACACACTGATTGATCTTAGGACAACATCATCAAAAAAATAAATAAATAAACATGCTGAAAACATAAATAACAAATTTAAATTGTGCCAAAGTTTCAATTTATTAATCACGTGGCGACATCTTCTATTCAGTGGCTACACATACCATTCTAAAGTACAATACGTTAATCTAAACGATTAACTTCTTGGAATTATAGTCCATGCCACCTAATCTCATTGATCCACTCTAAACTGCATGCTTGCAAATTTTATAAGGAACACGTAATCTCAACCGAATGAATGCATCTGTAATCATTTAAATTCTTCGCACTAAATGTGCATATGCATCATGTAATTGTTGGATCTAGATTAATGCACTCGACGACAAAATGGAAATTGTTTGATTTATTGCCATCTCCATGACTAAGTGGAGCTGTCTCTCGACAGATTTATTACAACCACAATTAATTGATAGCCTTTGATGTAATACGAGCAACACAAAATTAGATAGGAGATTATTCAAATTATCTCATCCCACTCAAAACATTAACAAAAAAAAATATATCAATCCGTTACGTGACTTTACAAAGACTACTATTTTAGTCTACAATCTTCTATTCAATTTCTCGATGTTATTTTCAATGATAATTTAAAAAAAAAATTATGAAATAATTAGTAAACAATATTTAACTAAAAACTTTAAACTTATATAAATTTAAATTATCTAAAGTAAGTAAGAATAGGATATAATATAGCAACCTGTTGTACCCTTAATTGTTAATTCAACAACGGTAGCAATTTTGCTTAACAGAACCAATTTAAGGGAGGATTCGATCGATGCGGTCATCAACAGGTAATTGAGTCGCACAGGTGACCTATGGTGACCGTGACCATGATTATAAAATGTATAGATTTCAACTAATTATGATGACTGAACGGATTTGCGAAGATCTATTAATCTTTAAATGGGACCTGTTGCGCGTTCATTCTGGAATACGAGGGGTCGGCAACCTTTTCTAACCGATGACCCATTTTTCAGTTTTCCAATAGAATCTCTGCTGCCATGGGCAACGATCCTATAACTAGAACGTGCAAAAGATCGATTTTTAACTTTGTCGACCTGATAACAAATTTAAGTATAATTGGAACCCATTTGGTGTATACTTTTCTAAGCATAGTATTTTAAGGCGTAACAACATTAAACATTTGAAACGCAGCTATTGTTTGAATAAACAACTATAGATATTTATAGTAGTTATGAATTTTTAATAAACCGCATCTAAAACGCAATTTTCCGGTTATACGCTCCAAGGTCAGACCGTTATAACTATTGTTTAGATAAAAAAAAACGAGTGGAATTGCCAATTAAGTCGGTAATTTAAACAATAACTAATTAAAGTTTAATAATCGAATATTATGTGTATATTGCTGTTAAACAAGTTAAATTTAGAAAAATTACTCGCTTAATGAGCAATGAGTTACGATGAGATGAGATGTCCCGGATTACGTGCCTGTTACATCATTTTTAAAACTTGTGTATTTTTTAATATGTTTCACTATAAATCCGGAAATTTTGGAACGGATTAAACTCGTTAAGCGAGGTTCCATTGTATATACATAAATAGTTAAATTAGTATCAAATTATATTTATGAGGTAGAAGTATTAGGATTGGCTGTAGGATATGTATATTGAAATGAAAAACGTACATTTATTTTCTTCGTTCTCAATTTTATTTTTCTCCCTCTATATATATACATATATTCTATATACAGGTATGTGTATATATATAAATATTTGTTGGACAATAATAACCTATCAGTTAATATCATGTTTTCATTTGTTATCAATTCCTTATTTTAAAACTGCCTTAAACATAATATCGAGAAAAAAAAACATTATACTAATATATTCTCTTTGGATACAACACTACCAAACGATAAGATGTGAGTTCTAAAGTGACGTAAATGCAGTAAACCTATTTTAAAACTTACTTCATTTATGATTTGTTTGTTTCTTAATTATCCTAACATTATTCATCTAACAACATTATTCATTTATTTATTTATTTATTACGTGTATTTATATTATTATTATTTTCTCTTGTTCAAATATCTACAGTCTATTACATTTAAAGCTTATCCACAAATCGACATTATTATGTTTTGTTTCCCTTAACAGTACAATATCCTCCTCTCGTCTTGATTCAACAGAATTGATATATAATATTGCAAACAAACAGGTAACAAATATCATTTACAGAATACCTTCCACTAAGTAACTGAACTCTTTATCTTAAACCTGCAGATTTCCGGGCGCCAAGAGGGCATACGAAAATGAGCGGTCTTTTCATCCCCTATTTAGCTAAATAAAACCTAGCTAATCACAACGGTGAATTTCAACATACTTCTGGCTACAAAAAATAGAGGTTGTAGCTTAACTCGATAAACCAACTACAGACACTTACACCCTAAATATTTTTTGTCCTCAGAAAATATTACCGCCAATTCTTATGTACAATGATAATCTTTAGATTAATATCCAAGAAGAAACCTTTGCTAAGAAATTGGTCGCATCCAAAGCGTCCATACGAAGCAATTCGGTGAAAGATGAGATGGGATCGCGATGATTTAGGAACTCGTTAGGTATTGAGAACAATTTTGGAGGTGAGCGAAATGAAATCAACGACAAACGAAATGGGGAATAGGATGATGGGAATTGCTTCAAATGTACCTATGGAATGCGTCGAACTTCCAAAACAAGGAGTACAAATACAAAGTAATAGTACCCGTATTCTTTGTCAACAATTTGTGCTCTGTAGCTCGAAGAACTTCGCTTCGAAACTAGAAAAAAATACCTCAATAATACACAAATTGTAAAAACCGACCTTCCAAAACATCCCCACACACATTTACAAACACAAACGATTCATCCCACAAACATTATATTTTTGTCTTGTCATCTTTTAATTTTTAAATGATTCTAATAACTTGTATTAGTTTTTATTAAATATATGTTTTAAAATCTTTAAATTCTTTTTGATTGAAGTAATGAAATTCTCAATTTATTGGCAGTGTTAAATTTGCGACCGAAATCAAAGTACTTGAAACTAAAGTAGTTGAAACATTATCTCGGTTATTGAACATGTGACGTGTGCGTATTAATTTCGAGTGTCTTATATTGCATATAAAATATACATATACATACATAATTTCAAATATATACATATACTTTTGGAATGTAACACTAACAACAACATTTTGCGAATTTCAGTTTCAAGAAAAACCGTTTTCAATTCTTTTTTTTTTGAGTATTCTTCTATGCGATTTCGCTTTTCCTAATCCCGCCTAAGAGTTTTGGCTCGTAATACATTTTATTTACGTTTTTTTCTCATTTTTTTTTTTTAATTTTATGCACCTTAAATTATTATCACACATTCTTTTATAATAA